TTTAAAAAAAAAAAAAAGATTTTATTTATTTATTTGTTAGAGAGCGTGCACAAACAGGCAGAGCAGCAGGGAGAGAGAGAAGCAGGCTCCCACTGAGCAGAGAGCCCGACATGGGGCTCCATCCCAGGACCCTGGGATCATGACCCGAGTTGAAGGCAGACGCTTAACCGACTGAGCCACCCAAGGTGCCCCTGAACAATTTATTTACAAAATATAGCCTCAGATTACAAGCAGACCATTTAAATGATTGTCAATAAGTACTTTGTATGCACTGACTCTGAATAACCCTATGTGAGATAGGTAATACTGTTATCCCCATTTTATAAAATCATGCCTGACTCTGAGATGCCCAAGGCCATGGTTGTGGGAGGTTGAACCCGGGCCACTTACACACCATGATGTACGTCCAACCTTTGTAAATTAGTACAGTATTGGCAAGAAGCTGGTTATCACTCATTTTCATAAGCCATTCTTGAGCCATTTGAAATACCAATAACTGGGGCACCTGGGTGGCTCAGTCCGTTAAGCGGCTGCTTTCGGCTCGGGTCATGGTCCTGGGGTCTTGGGATTGAGCCCCACATCCGGCTCCCTGCTCAGCAGAGAGCCTGTTTCTCCCTCTCCATCTGCCTGTCACTCTGCCTACTTGTGCTCTCTCTCTGTCAAATAAATAAATAAAATCTTTAAAAAAAAAAAAAAAAAGAAATACCAATAACCTACACGATGGGGGTCATGCTGAAGGTCCAAAAGGAAGGTATCGAGAGAACATGGGGACCCTGGGCCAGCTGCAGCCCTTGAATGGAGACCCTTTCTGTAAGATGTAGTCAGAATTACTAGCCAGCAGTGACGAAATGGTCCATGGATAGCTTCCCTCCTTGGGTCAGGTTGTATCATTGTGGAGCCACCCTGTGTCCTGGATTCTTTGCTCCTCCAGAGGCTTTAACTGGGCCCCACTTCTACAGGAATGGAGTTCCTTAGTGGGGACTGAGGAAAAGCTGGTGATTCTGTGCTTAATGGAAGGGGGTTAGATTTTGCCTTTTTCTGTGCTTTTGAAACTAGTGAGACTCCATTAAATGTTGAGCATACTTTTTTAAGTAGTTTCCTTGCAATTTAACTAGGGCTCTTGGACATTGTTCAAGATAGAATTGTATTGTATATCCAAATTTTGTTTCTTTCAGAAAACATCCCAGAAAAATGGACCCCGGAAGTCAAGCACTTCTGTCCCAACGTGCCCATCATCCTGGTTGGGAACAAGAAGGATCTTCGGAATGATGAGCACACAAGGCGGGAGCTAGCCAAGATGAAGCAGGTATTGTCTGGGGCAGGACTCTGTTGTCCTGTAGTAGTCTTAAACCCAGGGCCGAAGGTTGGATGTTGAGGGGGCCCAGCAGAAACTCCCAAGCCAGGCTATTTCAGAGAGTCCCAGAAGCCTTTCTTTCTCCATCTGTCCCTCATTCACTGGGGCCTGCTCAGAGGGTCCTTAAGACTCCCACCTCATATGAGATGGGAAGCTCTCCTGTGAGGTAGTGCTGTGCCTCCAAGGATTGCCTGCCTGAGAAGGGACTATCAGCAGCAGTAGTCAGTGCTCCAAATGCAGGAACTTTTTATCAGGCTCTTGATTTCCCTCTCTGGTTATTACCTTGGTATGTGTGAGGCCAAAGATTAAATTGGTGGCAACTAAAGGATCAGGAAATCCTGAGGACAAGGAGTCCAGAGAGCCCTGATGCCTTTATAAAAGGCATGATGGAGTTCGCATCTTGACTTCTGAGAAGCCAGGCGGCCCAGTGGGAGGGCTTACCTAGTGCAGGGCAAGAGCTTTGAGGTCTTCAGCCCAGGTTCTTCCACTGAGGTTTCTCTCTGAATGTTAAGGTCAGGATCTGTCTCCTCCCAGAGGCATTCAGTCCTCTGTGAAGCTAACTACAGGAAGACCCAAGTGCTTACCCTGGACTGAAAGCTTGAATCATTTTGCTCTTGATTCCTTCCTAAACCCTGCAGGGCTTTCTGGCCTCTCCCTTTCTCTCTACGTCCCAGGGAAGAGCTTGTTTGATAGAGATTTTATATTGGGGTAGGGAGGATCACTGCATATGAGTTTCATAAGTCAGAACTCAAATCTGGGTTTGGCAGCTTTTAAAAGAAGTCTTTTAAGCTGAATTTGAGTACTTTGCACTTACTTCATATATGTGACACTTAACTGAAAGTGCTCTTTTGTCTTTGTTAGGAGCCGGTGAAACCGGAAGAAGGCAGAGATATGGCAAACAGGATTGGCGCTTTCGGTTACATGGAGTGTTCAGCAAAGACCAAAGATGGAGTGAGGGAGGTTTTTGAAATGGCCACGAGAGCTGCTCTGCAAGCCAGACGTGGGAAGAAAAAATCTGGGTGCCTTGTCTTGTGAAACCCTGCTGCAAGCACAGCCCTCATGCGGTTAATTTTGAAGTGCTGTTTATTAATCTTAGTGTATGATTACTGGCCTTTTTTCATTTATCTATAATTTACCTAAGATTACAAATCAGAAGTCATCTTGCTACCAGTATTTAGAAGCCAACCGTGATTATTAATGATGTCCAACCCACCCGACCACCGGGGTCCTTCTGACACCGCTCTAACAGCCCTCCTCTGCACTCCCACCTGACACACCAGGCGCTAATTCAAGGAATTTCTTAACTTCCTGCTTCTTTCTAGAAAGAGAAACAGTTGGTAACTTTTGTGAATTAGGCTGTAACTACTTTATAACTAACATGTCCTGCCTGCCATCTGTCAGCTGCAAGGTACTCTGGTGAGTCCCTACTTCAGAGCTTTACTCCTTAACAAATTTTATTGGCATAGCTCTGTGATGGGCATCCAGTTTTTTGAAAATGCTCATCCAGAAAGGCCCAAGTCCATGCAGCTGTGGCAGAGTTACAGTTCTGTGGTTTCATGTTAGTTACCTTATAGTTACTGTGTAATTAGTGCCACTTAATGTATGTTACCAAAAAATAAATATATCTACCCCAGACTAGATGTAGTATTTTTTGTATAATTGGATTTCCTAATACTGATATTTGTCATCCCTGCAGAAAGTGTATTGGTTTTTTAAAAAAGAAAGTGTATTTGAAAATAAAGTCAGATGGAAAATTCATTTTTAAAATTCCCGTTTTGTCAGTTTCTCTGATAAAAAAGATGGCCCGTATCACCTGTTTTTGGCCCCACATATTCCAGTACCCCCTCCCCAGAGCTGGGCTAAATAAATAGGAATTTGGTTTCATGCCTGAGGCACTTAGACACTTCAGAAGGTGGCATGACCTGTCTCACCTGGACTGCAGGGTCTGGCTCTAGTTCACAGTGCTTTTCCTCACTGTATCCAGGTTCCCTCCCACAGGAGCCACCAGTTCTCTTGGGTGGCACTCTTTCTTCTCTCCAGCTGACTGAACTTTTTTTCTGTACCAGTTAATTTTTCCAACTACTAATAGAATAAAGGCAGTTTTCTAAACTTCCTGTATCCTGGTGTTTGTGTTGCTCTCTCCAGGGCTGGGAGTGGGAGGATATATCCAGCCTAGCTCTCCTTGGAAGGTTCCTTCAGAGTGCGAAATACCAGCTTGCCCCCATTCTGACACCCCCCCCCCCCAATTTGGCACTAACCTGGCTGCTCCTAAGAAGGTGGAAACGATCATTTTGTGTCAGTTAAAGTTCACAGTGGCCTAGTGTGGGGAATGCATTGTACGGAGAATACATGAAGGGTACTCCAAGCAGTCATTCCTCTAGAGGAATCTCAGGAGTGTGACATTTTTCTCTTCCTGCCCGTTTTCAGTGTCTTTTACTTACAGGCCTGAGCCTCAGGTTAAGCTGATTAGGTATAGAGGATGGCCTGAAATCGGCTGGGTCCACCCCAGAAGCCAGGGAGGGGGCTGGGCCTCAGTGGCTCCTTGGAAAAACCAGTGTTAAGGACAGTGCCACACTGGAGATCTAAAAGGAGACCGGAGGCCTGGATGAGAAGACGCGCCAGGCAGCCCCAGAATGCAGGGAAGGGAGTTAGAGCTGCATTTTGGAGCCTGAGCCCTGGCTGCCCCGGGCAATGCCCACTTTCCTCCAACTTAACCTTCCTAGAGCCACAGCGCGTCACCGCAGAGAGAACTTGCTTTGGCAGCCACTGCCAACTGCACCACCACCGCAAGTCACAACTCGCTCTGTGCACCTGGCGACAATAGGGCACAGACTGCAAGAGAAGTAATGTGGCTTAGCCTGGGAGGGCTGTGTGGTCAGGAGCGGCACCCGCTGCTGTTGCTGCCCAATCTCCTTGGGCCCTGCCCCATCCTTTAACTAAAAACCCTTGAGAAGGAACCGGAGCCCTCTTGGACCCGAGCCCTGGGGAACTCGCGGGAACGCCACCATCCCTGCGCTGCCTGGACGGGACCTGGCGTGCCTGCGGCTCTGCACCGCCTGGGCGGTGCCCGCATCCGGCCAGGACGCACCCTCCCACCCGGCTGGAGGGGGGGCGGAGGCCGGATGAGGCGGGGCCGAGGCGGGGCGGGCGGCCGGAAAAGTTCCTGCGCCACGTGACCCCACAGTCCTCGCTGTCCCCTGCCGAAGCTACGCACTGTAGTCAGAAAGCCCACCATGTGTGCCGCTCCGCTCGCCGCCGCCGCCGCCGTCGCCGATGCGGCGGCGGCCCCGCGCTCCGTGTATGCCTTCTCTGCGCGCCCGCTGGCCGGCGGGGAGCCCCTGAGCCTGGGTTCCCTGCGGGGCAAGGTGCTGCTCATTGAGAATGTGGCGTCGCTCTGAGGCACAACGGTCCGGGACTACACCCAGATGAACGAGCTGCAGCGGCGCCTCGGGCCCCGGGGCCTGGTTGTGCTCGGCTTCCCATGCAACCAGTTCGGGCATCAGGTGCGCGCTGGGGGCAGAGCGGGGGGGCGGGGCGTGCACCAGGTCCTGGCTGCGGAGAGGCGGGCCCACCGGCGCTCGTCCCAGCTGGGGTCAGGTCTCCCTAGGGGTTGTACAAGAAGGGCAAGAGCCCGGTGACTCATCGAGAAACTTCTCGTTTGCTGCCCGAACGTTTCCCCTCCCCTTGCGGCCCCGGGTTCCAGCTGCTCTCCCTTCCCGCAGGAGAACGCTAAGAACGAAGAGATCCTGAATTCCCTCAAGTACGTCCGACCTGGCGGCGGGTTCGAGCCCAACTTCACGCTTTTTGAGAAGTGCGAGGTGAACGGCGCGCAGGCGCACCCCCTCTTCGCCTTCCTGCGGGAGTCCCTGCCAGCCCCTAGTGACGACGCCACTGCGCTCATGACCGACCCCAAGTTCATCACCTGGTCTCCCGTGTGCCGCAACGACATCGCCTGGAACTTTGAGAAGTTCCTGGTGGGCCCGGATGGTGTGCCTGTGCGCAGGTACAGCCGCCGCTTTCCCACCATCAATATCGAGCCTGACATCGAAGCCCTGCTGTCCCAGGGGCCCAGCAGTGCCTAGGCAACCCTCCGCCCCCTGCTGCTTGGCAGCGCTGCCCTCGGGATTTCATCCATGACGGTGTTTCCTCGAAATCTGCATGGAGGAACACCTGATTTCCAGGAAAATCCCCTGAGCTAGGCGCTTTTGTCCATCCCAGCACCCCCTCCCTAACGAGGCTCCTCGGTAATAAAGTGTTGGGTGTCAGCACAACTTTGTGTGTGTCCTGTGTCAGTTGGGGACATCTTTCCTAGTAACCTCATTGTCACAGGGCTGTGAGCTTAAGTGTCATGCCCCCCCACCCCTTGGCCTTTATTTTATTTTATTTTTTGAAAGATTTTATTTATTTGACAGAGACACAGCGAGAGAGGGAACACAAGCAGGGGGAGTGGGAGCGGGAGAAGCAGGCTTCCCGCTGAGCAAGGAGCCCAATGCGGGGCTCCATCCCAGGACCCCAGGACCATGACCTGAGTGGAAGGCAGATGCCTAACAACTGAGCCACCCAGGCGCCCCTGGCCTTTGTTTTAGCCAAGCCTGAACTTCCTAAGCTTTTGTCTGTAGTGTCTGGAAAGCCTAACTCCTGTCCCAGTGTTTTTCCTTCTGCCAGGATATTTAGTAGGGCTATCCCAAGGTCCTGTTAAAAGAGAAAGTCCAGATTCCAAAAATAGGAAGACAAGTCAAGAGCCAACTGCCTAATCCCAGCAGTAGGCCTCCTTTCTAAGTATTGACAAGCCATGAAAGGACATTCATAAAAGAGAACACCACGAGTTCCCACTCGCATTCAGTCTGTGGCTTCTCCAAGTGTCAGGTCCACCTACTTTACACAGTCGTAAGCCCATGCAATTTTACAAATTTTTTCCCGTTACTTTGTTAGATCTTTGCATGTTGCCACCCAGGCTTATTTATGTCTACTCCCGTGCCGCCCTTACTGCTTGTTGCCTCTCATGTATTCAGAGTGAGAAGAGTATACAGCTGGGCCTTCTGACCATGCCCTGCTTGGCACTTAGCAGTTGGAACTGCATGGTCAGGCTCACGGTAGGGGCTTATCTTGGAAGCCAGCTGCTGCTTCTCAGGTGTGGTTTGGGTCTAACCTCTCTCTCCCTCTCCTGTCTCTGCTGCCTATCTTTTGAAACAGACCTGAAGCCACTTACTATCACAGCCCAGGGGACTCTGGGCGGCTTGGACGCAGCTCCTACTTGGGCAGACAAGGATGCAGAAACACATTAGCAGTGTCTCCCAGTCCAGAATGTGGGCTCATCGTTCGGTCCTGTGTCATGTGTTCTGTTGGCTGCCAGGAATGCAGTCCTCAGAAAGGCGGAAAGAATATATAGTTCCTAAAAGCATGTGTAGTTCTGAGGTAGTACAGGGTACTTTGAGAATAAGAGAGCCTGGCCCAGTAGGGAGGATCCCGCTTCCCTCCTGGAGGAAATGGCAGTGAAGCTGAAGAGAAGTCAAGAAGCATTTAACTGAGGAATGAACTGATGGAGGGTGGACAGGCAGGGAGTACAGTGTGCAAGGGTCTGAGGTGGGAAGGGGGCACCGCTGACTGAGTTGGACAACACATGGACAAGCAGGTTTGGGGAGAAGAGTGTTCAGATTCAGACATCTTGCATGAGACATCCAGATGGAGTATCTGGAGCAGGTAGTTAAAAGAGACTCAAAAAGAAGTATGGGTTGGAGACAAAGATCTAGCCACGGGGACAGTAAGTAGCCATTGGAGAGTATGAGATCACCTGGGGAGAGTGGCAAGAAATAAACCAGGGGGACCTAGGCCTGAGGCCTATGGATTCCCAATCCTGGGTCAGCTCACAGGAACAGCTGGGAGAACCAGGATGGAGTCAAGGGGCCGTGAGAAGGGATATTTCATAACGGTGGCTGGGGCAAGTGCTTGTGGATTGAGTGTTCCTCAGCAAGTACAGTTTCAGGGGGGCAGCTGGAATTGAAGCCAGATAACCAAGTGTCCGAGATGTGTCAGGTCCTGTTCTAGGAGCTAAACATAGAGCCCCCAAGAATCACCAGGGTACTTGTTAAAATGTTCCATGGCCCTCACCCAGAGATACTGCTTTGGAAAGTCTGGGGACTTAGGATCCTACTAGCTGCCTACCAGCTGAACCTGAGGACACACTTTCTGCTCCAAGGCTCCCCTTTCCTGTAAAGGGTCAGTGCCGCCCAGGCCACATTGTCTGGTTAGGCTCTAAATGGGAACCCAGGGCTTTCCAAACTAACTTCAACCTCTTCCCTCCCAAGCTGCTTGGTGACTCACTCTTAGTCGCCCACTTTTTTTCCTCTCAGTTTTTGCCTTGGGTTGCCAAAGAAGGGAACTTCTGAGTTCCCAATGTGGCTGCCCCTGTCCTCCTAAGACTTCAAGCTGCCGGCCTCCCTTAACTGAAAGTCATTTCCAACTCGCTCTCCTTCAGGAAGAATCAGAGTAAAGCCAGTTAACACTACCTCTTCCTCCCCAAGAAACTGGACATCTTCCCCCAACATGTACAAATACACACTCCTACACATACACATTCCTTATCATTCAACCATGAAACCGCTACTGGCTCTGACCTGCACCCGCCCCACCCCGTCGTGAATCAGCAGTTCAGATGAACAAGTAAAAGCGACGGAATCCCAGCAAGCCTGCCTGAGGTCCAAGTGTTTAGTTAAAGTGGCCGCAGGACATTGCTTATCTGGGAGCAGGCAACAGCATTTAGGCCACAGGCCTCTGAAAAGGGAATGGGCCCTGCTGTTACTCAGGTTCGGAAGCTTTAGTTTTTGTAGTTCTTCCAGAAATACTGGGTTTTCTTTTTGTTTTTAAAGCATTAAATCTCATAAAATCATGTAGAAGTACCTCAAATTACCTCTATGTACACTTTAAATATTTTACAATTTTATCGGTCAATTAACCCTCAATAAAACTGAAAAAAAAACCTGATAAAATACAGTCAGACACTTCTTGCACAGTTAGCTCTTTATCAGATGACTTCCTCATTCTGTCTCAATGTAGTTCCACAAACAACATTTAAAACTAGCTTATTTTTTAAAAAAATTAAAAATAGGGGTGCATAGGTG